TGCATACCCAATTTCATCAGGAAAATGCATATAAGTATATGACTGAGAAGGTGATAGTATAAAAAACAGCTTTTTAACCTGCACTGCCTGCTTTCCTAGAAATAATGATGCATCACTGACAGCACCACTGACAACACCACTGTCAAAGTTTAAAATAGGTAGGTGTTAGCTCCCTAACAAGTGCAAGCAAAGAATAGGATCTTGGTGACTTCAGCTTATACTTTCAGGAAGTTTAAAAAAAAAGGTGAGAATATAAACTGAAGTATTTGCTCAGTTAGGTCAGAGGCCTCAGAAAAGTCTCTCAGACGTTTATGAATGGTTGCCAAATAAAAATCAAAGTAATAAACAATCCTCCCCCAAACCAAGCTAATTTTATTTAACTCCTGCTATCAAACCACAGACTTTTTATCCATCATGCCCCAAGAAAATCCAGGACTGCCTGAAGCATATAGAGTCAAGGTCAAAAAGAAAGGTTTCATCTGCATAATCATGAAACTGTGAATTTTTTTAAAGATTATTCCTTGAGTGGCAGGCTTTCCTAATTTAGAAAAATGAAATGTAGCACACCAAGGACAGCAGAAAAACTCACACTGTCTTCAATACATATTTCTAACAAGGGTCAAATTTTCACTAAAGTGAAGACTAAGTAAATCCCAAATTCACAGGCATTGCTCAGGATCTATGCTAGCCAAAAAAAATCAGGAACCCCCTTTCCCCAGCCTTCACCCTCTCTTCTCCACCTGGAAAAAATCTAGTCTTCATGGTTTGTTTCTTGATGTAATGGGAAGATTGTCTTCCGATTGGATGGATACTGTTAGAATTAGCATTGAAAAGTGATTTTTAGAAACATCACTTCGTATTAGCAAATGAGGTTTCACCTAGCATAATTTCAGATTTCTGCTCCTGGAAGGTTTTGAGTATCATATTTATCTGTCTATCCAAGTCCTTTGTCACAGATACTCTGAGATTCTAAATCAAGATACATGACTTCCCTGATTCACTATGAAATACATGCATTTTCTTCATTTGGGAATTGCTACTATATCCAGAAATGCTGAATTTTTATAGCTGCATCTTGGATAAAGTCATGAATGAATTTGCCAAGGCATAATGTAATTGATTGTGCTTGGCTTGCTAGGCAGTGATATAATATAGTGTGACTCAACCTGCTGGTCCAGAACACAATCAGTATTCATGCTCTAGCTGCTGGAAAATATAAAATAAACTGTTTAGATTATTTAGTGAGAACCTAATTTGCTTAGAATTACTAAAGACAACATAGAGCTTGGAAAGGAAAAGTAACAAGTCTAAAAGTTCACATAACAAAAGAACTAAGGCTGAGACTAAAATATAAAAAAATACTCCTATGAAAAAATGCCCCCATATTTATATAAATGTTCTAACTCTGCACCCAGAGAGGTGGCCCTGAATTTTTTAGCACCACTTGTGTGCATGCACAAAGAATGGCCAAGGACAGCCCTGTTACTTGTGCTAAAAAAGAAGGTAAAATGAGAACAGACCAGCTAGGAAGGTTTTGAACATAAAAATTGTATAATACATCTCAATATGGCGAGAATTTAAAAAAAAATATTGAAGATATGGTGTTGTATACTTAATGCTATGGCAATGGTGGATATTCAGCTACCAAAGAGACCAGAACACATTTCTCCATCCTCTGGAATATTTGAAATCAATTTTTGATTACAGAAAAACTAAAAAGACATTTTTTATTTGGGGGATGCAAGAACGTTTAAGAATGCTGCATTAAAATCTAGTAATCTATCTCCATTTGAAAGTGATATATTTTTACATTTTAATACAATAAAATCTTGGAAAATTGACATCTTGAATTACACATATATCATTAGAATTGTGTCAAGTTAACAGGCTGAATTTCCAGCTTCCATGGGGCTGGGAAGTGTGCAATGTGCTAAGAAGATAAATGCATGTGGGGTAAGACTGGAGATGCAGCTGTTTATAAACTCACTCATGTCCTGCATGAAATGATATTGCAAGGCTGTATTATATAAAAATGAAATGTTAATGAATCAAAACACTTCAAAGACAATCTTCTCTTCAGTTTGGTTTCAAAAGCTCTAAATTTCAAAAGTTCAGTTAAACTAATTTCCTGCATTTTCCATGGATTTTCACAGATCTACTGCTATAGGTGCAATGAACCTGTCTGGTGACTAAAGCAGCAGCATAGGGAAAAATCACAACTGTTTTTCAACAGCCTCATAAAATGATATTCTGCAAGGGACACTAAACCACTCAGTTGATCCTACCTTGAGCATAAACCGATTTGCTTCCCAGTGAAGTGGGGCTGTGCCCATTGCTCAGTGCAGAAAAAAGCAGAAGGAGCTGCAGGAAATGTACAGCTGGGCTAGGAACAAAGCAACTCTTTAAAAGCTAGGAAACAAGCAAGTGTACATAGTCCTGGGTGGGGGAATTAATTCAGATCACTTCATGCCAACATATTAGACTTCATTACTGAGTGCAAGTCACACATTTCACAGTTCCACTTCCTCAGATAAAATGATACCTGATATTAAACATAAAGAAAAGGAGGAGTTCATCTGACTATGATAAAACATGATAACTAAAGAAGAGACCAAATAACTAAGTGGACTTTTAAATCTACATGATCTTTGCATATAGCCTCTCTCTTCAAATTTCATCTGCAATGTAAGTTTGTAGTGTGTGAAAGGAGACACTGACAGCTTGAGAAAATGATGTTGAATTTCAGGTAAAGGTCCTTTCAAAAAGCCCTTATAAAGGTCTTCTCCTTTTCATCACTTCATCTGGGAAGAAGAAAGGAGAGACACCTGGGTTGTACGGGGTGCAGGATGACTATAAATTACAAAAGAAATGCAGTGATGAAAAATCCCAGTGCTGGTTTGCTGTCTATGGGGTAACTGGTTTCCTGGAGAAACAGAGTAAAAAGCATTGTACCAGGTGCTGGAGGAACCAGGATCTCGAGCTGAAGGGGCTGGCTCAGGGAGGATGAAACCCAACCAGGTGAGGTGCAGAGAACAGTTTGCTCTGATTAGTGAACTAAGGGCTGAGAGACAGTATGATTCCTCTCTACTGATGCACCAATGGAGTAAAATGCCATGGAGATGGGCATTCTTGCTGCTAATGGATACTCTTGGTAGAAAGATGAATGGACCAAAACTAGGCACAAAGTAAGTTTATGCTGGAAATAAGGAGGTTTGTAACTGTTGGAGATATAATGTTCTGAAAGTCTTCCAAGGACAGCAGTGGAGGTAAAAAAACTGCATAGGTTTAAATAATTGTATGTTATGTGTTTATGAAAGCAACAGCATGATACATACAGTAACCATAGGAGGATGAGACTTTCAGTTTTCTAATAATTAGAGAAAGGGCCAGAGGGGACCATCAGTTACTTCAGATGTGGAACACAACCAGTGTACCAGGACACAGATGGATGCTTTCAACCAGAAAACCTTTCCATTCTGAGCCTTCTACTCTTGAGCACTTTTTCCATACAGTTTTTGGAGGGAGACCAAGCTGCCATTATGGATGGGAGCTGACGTGCACTTACTGTAGAAAGATGGGGGTCAGTAAAGCTGAAAATTCTGCCTTCCTGGCTCTGCTAATGTATCCAACAATTTGACACAGGGAAGAAATTAAACCTTTAACTTACCTTTTGCCTTTCAAGTGTCTAAACTTTAAAGTTTAAAGTTTAGTGTTTGCAAAATTGCCTTTTTTGTTAGGTTTGTGCAATGCTGAGCACAGAGCTGTTCACACTCTGATTCCTTTGAGTCTTTCCCTCTATTAAAGTTTGATTTTGCTAGTACACCACCACCACTGTTTTCAGAACAACATTTGTCTTTCACTGTGCAATTTAGTAATTTTTCTTAGAAATGGTGGACTAACACCACTAAATGTATTTTTCTGTGTGTATCAAATAATATGTTTACAGGAGATAGTTTTTAGATAACACCTAATGTCAAACACTTCGGGTTTGGATCATGAGGCAGAAAGAAGGAGACATGGTATCACCATGAGACAGAGCTGCAAAGCAGCAGGCAACCCCTACATTGTGTTTTCAGTCAAATTTTTTTTTTCTAGTCTTGCTTTTCTTGTGCCTGCAAAATTCTCAAAGCTAAAAACCAAAATAAAAGACAGTAGTGACAAACAACTTTGTGTTGAACTCTGAAGATTTGAACTTTCACTGTCACATTCAGATTCATGCAGGTACTATTACTATAACAAAATCTGTTTTAAGTTGATTAGACACTCAGAATTTTAAGGTTTTCTTTTGCCTAACACTTCTAACACAATTTAGCTATCAAGTAATCTCTCTCCTATGAATAAATGATGGTAGGAAGCAATTGCTTCCAGCACTGCAATGTTATTCACAGGATGGACACTGGCAGTGGATACTTTTGGATAATGAAGTGCCACTCCTCATAACTGAATGTCAAATGTGGTCCTGTACCACATGGTGTTTTAAATATTAGGGGACCTGGGATGTCAAAGTTTAACTTCAACACAAATATGCTGCACATTTTGGCATTTACAATAAGAGGCAATTCACTGGTATGGCCAAGAGAAAGGTGTAATTTATTAACAATTTAATTATGAATTCAGAATCAATATGAATGAAGCAACCTTGTTCCCAGGAAAAAACGTCTGTGGGAATTTTGGAAGAGACCTTCCCTTCATGCTGCCACCTGAGGTCTGTTCACAGCAGTTGAAATTAACCTTTGACAAGTAAGATGAAATTAATGATACAGTGTCTGACAAACATGTACTCAAAACTTAAAACTTGTAGCAAAAAGACCAAATGAGCTCTTTTAGAAAACAAGAAATCATAAAATAAAATTGGTAAGCCTGAAGTAAAAAAAAATCAGCTTGCACTTTTACCGTTTAGATCTAGCAAAGCTTGGAGGCTCCTTTTGTTTCCTCATTCTTAGCTGACATTACTTGAGGCATACTGTTATTACCCAAACACATCTCTCATTTCCACATACCTTGTAGTGGAATAGGAATAATCCACAAAAGAGGCTGTACAGGTCAGCTGTGAGCAGGGAGAGGTTGACGGCAGTAGCGCTGGTTTTCTTTATGACCACTGGCATAAAGCTGTAGAGACCAAACATACAGGCACTAAAGCCAACGTACAGCAAGCCTGCAGAAGAGAAACAAGAAGCAAAGTGACCTTACAGCCTGCAGGAATGACTTTGTTGGGAGGAAGAAGATTGTGCTTTAAGGAAAAGGAAGAATAATGCTTTTTCAAAGAAAAATTCAAATTAATAATATACACATTTATATATAGAGTGAAAACCATATCAATAGTGGTTCTTTGGGATCTCCATAACAGCATAGTTGTTTCAAATTGGTGTCTTATACTACCAGTGACTACCTCATATCCAGTATAGATTTGGACATAATGATGCATTTGAACATATCAAATCTAGTCTGCAGGAGTTAAATGTCCCTAGCACCAAGTGAGTTCAGATGAGTTGGACTGAGCACACGGTATTTTCTGGGACTGGATGCAAAATATGAATGCAAAGTTATTTGCAGAGGAGTTAATGAGCAAATGGATGAATGCATGAGGACAGCACTCAAGTGTCAGAGGTCCTAGTCCTATTTTGCCACCAAAACTGACAAATCACTTCACAGTTTTGCACCTCTGTTCCCTACTCCTTTTTTTCTGCCTTCCTCAATAAAACTTTTGTGAGCTGAAACTCTTTCCTGCTACACATTTACAAAGTGCCTCACACAAATTAGATTGTTAGACACTAATAGAATAAAAATACATTACAGTAAAAATCCAAATTAATTTAAAAACCTAAATAACATATTGGAAAAGAATTCATTGCTTCAGTTTATTACTTGATAAATCCCAAGGCAAATTAATCAATATGAAGTTAAAAAAAACAGCAAACACTTTACTCATCTATTCTCATGCAAATGATATTTCTTAGGCTGCCGTATGTTGCAGAATTCCCAGCTGATATGTGCATAAGCCTAAATTTAGACTCATGCCAGCTCTTCAGAACATGTTATTGACTAAAATTTTTAGAAAATCTGATTGCCAAAGTCCTGAAAGGGATTATAAACGATTAAAAAAAAGGGCATATAATGGCCATATAACTGCATGTGGATCCATTTAGTTAAAAATTCTTTAGAAAAGCTAGCTAAAGGACAAAATCAGCTGTGACAGATTGGGTCCTCTGGAAGCATACGAACTGAAGTGCACATTCAACTGAAACAAATGTAGCAGACACAAACTATTAGCATCCATACATGTTATGTCATGATAAGGAATGTGAATTTGTATTCAGAATATGGACAATTATGGTAAAAATTGCTTTTACCCATAGCAAATTTATAAAGTGTACTAGTAAAAAAATTACGTTTTAGGCAGTGCTTGAAAGCTGCTTTATTTAAACTCAGTGACTCTTCTGTAGCAAGCAAATGATTGCACAATATGGAGTGTAGTTTTGGTCAGTGGGAAATTTTTTGCATACAGGAACATTAATCCAGCTTTTCTTCCAGGCTTAAGAAGAACATTCTGGATCAGGAGTCAGCATTGTCAAAGTACAGTCTGCAAATCACCAGCTGGTCCACCAAACTTCTGGTCATCTGGATTTAACACAGCTTCACTGGTTATGCACTCAACTTACAGTATAATTTTATGGTACTGCCTTGCTGTTCACGTTACTTGACAGCCAGCTTCACAGGTTGCTTTCCAAAGGGCATTTCAGTTCCAGTGGAAAATTGCTTAAACTGTAGCTGTCCTAGCAGAGGTGAATATAAAGTGGCATTTCATTTACAGCTTCAAAATATATGTAATATCCACCAGCTGGGTGGCATTTAGTGGTGACAATAAACAAGTGAAATTAACATCACATGATTTTCAGATATTGCTTCTTAGATGGCCAATTTTGAGAGTGAAAATATATTTTAAGTCAACAGCTTGGAGCATCAGCCTCCTCAGGTACCCATGCAGTGCAAATAGAAGCCTTTGGAATTGCCTCTAGTGCTGCAGTCCCAGCAGGCTCCAGAACCTCTCTGAGCAACCTTCTCTGATGCCTGCCTGCCCTCAGTGTGAAGAAGATTTTCTTTATATCCAGTCTGAATCTGCCGCTTGAGCTTCTGTGTGTTGTCTCTCATTCTCCTGCCATGCACCTCTGTGAAGACCTCAGCTCTGTCCTTTTGATAACCTCGTTGTAGGTAACTTGACAACCTAGGTGTAGGTAACTTCTTTTCCACAGGCTGAACGAGCCCCAGTCCCTCAGCATTTCTCCATTTCTCTTTACACTTGGTGTCTTCACATGAACGGGCAGGATCTGTCCCTAAGGACCACTCCACTACAGCCCAAGCAGGACAGAGCCAAACATGACAAGAATTTCTGATCTTGTTCCTGAACAAGCTAGTGGAATGTTGCATGGTGCAATGATGCATGAATGTTGCCTGTGTGCTTTTATTCCAAAAGCAAATGTTTTATTGGCATGAAATGGAATCAGTTATGATCTTCCATACTGTCTTGGAACAAAGACCATTCAGAAATATTCAAACCCCTGGTAACAAAGGACGCTTCCTTGGAGCTACAAACTGTCTTTTCTCTTAAATAAAACTGATGTGAGTTTATTTGTTATTTCATCTATTGCTATAAAGCTTGTCATAGTCTCATATGAAACCACTCTGTCAAAAGTCTAAAATCATCCTCCTTTCAGTCTGGTTGTCAGCAAGTATTAGTACATAAACCTTCAAGGATACAAACAGAGCTACAGTGATTCATACTAAGTGTGAAGATGATGATATGTATCAGGGAAATTTCCAAAATTAACACCAGGAGGGCCACAGCCTGTTTTAAACATGATAGACATAACAGATTGGCTTTAGATCTTTATATTCAAAAGTCATTTGCATCAGTTAAAAGGTAGTTCATTTGATCTTAAAAGCACAATTACGGCAGATGGTAACAGGCCACCTTGATTTATTTATTAGGTTGCCTGCTGTGTCTTTATCACCACCATTCAGAAGGCTGATGATTTAACTCTGCTGGACTGCAGGCTTGAGTCTGTCACAGTGGATAACTACTCAGGACAAGGCTGTGAACTCCCTGATAGAGATTTGTCAATCACTTTTTGACAATCTTGTATCACTACCGATGCAATGGAAAGTACACCAGGTGCAGGGGAAGCCAGGGAAGAACTACAGAACTGTCACCATTTAATCCATGTTCAACTACACCACATTTCCAATTATTGCTCTAACAAAACAAGTACATATCTATGATGCTTTTGCTAAGATGATCTGAGCGTTGTGAAGTATAAGGACTCCTCAGAATTAGTAATCAACTTTCAGGGAGCAGCATCACAGATGAAGTAAGACCTTATTTTAACTGAACGCTTCACTGATACTGAGTTTGAACAGAAATCTCATGGAAGTATACATGACATTTACATGGACAGTAGATTAATTCACTATGACTGCTGGTACCATCAGTACCAGATGAATTATGTCCCTAAGCTCCTTCTCATGAAATATAAACAAACACTGATGCAATTATGCTAACTATCTCAAATTAAAGAAGGCCAATACACTTATAGGACACAGTTGAGTGTGTTTCTCCATGGATACTTTAAATTGATTTGTCATGTAGTTTTACAACTCAACCATCAAATTTCCAAGATTTCTAGGTGCAATGTTTTGTGAAAAATGTGCTGTATTTATCAAGGTTTAAGATGATGAAAGGAAATTGCTAACCAAGTTTAAAGAAAAAAACCGTATTCCACAGTTTGTATCCCCTCCCCTCAGGGATTCCCTACATAATCAGTTGTTTTTGCATACTTCTGAGTTGTCATTTTGATGTGCAGTCTGACACTAGGTAAAGAGCTATTGTCAATGGATTGCCAAAGCTTGAATCCTCTGCAATCAACCAGCTCTATGCTACTAGTATTCTTTTATTTCTTCTATTGTCATAAATGGTGAAGGAGTGATTATATTACTGCCCTAAGGATTAAGGACTCCCCTAAGTATTGATTTACTTTTATACCAAATAATTCATTGGACTAATTAGAAAGGAGTCATAAACTCAGCTTCTAAACTGAAATGGGAAAATGCATTCCCCTGCTTGGCAGAACACCATAACTGCTTCATTGGGCACGATGCTCCCAAAACTTGTCTAAAGGATACATCTGCTCTATTCCACCAAGATTATTTGGAAAGCAATTAAAATACTTCCACAAAGAAATACTCCTCCTGGAAGTGAATTTATGAGGCTATAATATGCACTGCGAGTATTTTTTTAGGTTATTTTGTTAGGTTCCATTTTCTTTCTTTGGCTTTCTTTGAAAAGGTTTGGCTCTTAATGACTGCCTCATTTAATGCCCCAGTGTTGCATTGAATCTTAGAACTGGAACCCCATTATTGTTTTACTTCACGGCTGTCTGAATGGTTCTATTACAGCATTCTTATGCTTAACCTAATCGTGCAAGGAAAGCACAACACAGCCGTGGCGGACAGATCATTTAAGAACAGTTATGAGGCATGTAGCTCAACCTTTGGTAGTAACCAGTGGAAAAGTCACAAACATTGGAAAAGTCACAAACATTGGCTCCCCTTAAACTCTGTGCCCTCCTCCCCAAACACTGGCTGTCACCACACTTCCTTCAGCAACCATCTTCCATGAGGTAAAGTGTGTTCTTACCTATTTGCCAATCCCAGGGGACTTTCAACAGCTCTTTGTGTTCCATGATTGCACTAGAACAGAAGAGAAGGTAAAATTTGATGGAAGAGAACAGAAGTTAAATTACTTTCACTCACTGAATTCAAATGCTGGACAAAACATAAATAACCTTATAACAAAAAAAATCTCTGTAGGAACCAAATGCAATCAAGAGTTTGCTAATCTACTCTGGCATTATCCCTGTGCCTGTGTATTTGAAAGATCTTCAGGGCAATAATCAGATCTGATAGCATACAATTTCCCCTGGTTTATTTCCAGCTCTATATATACCTGCTCTACATGCCCATTCCCCTAAATGTTCAATCCTCTTGTATTTTTCTGACTTAATATTCTGAAAGCTTTTGAATGTTAATTATTAATAAGGTATCTATCAGTTAGTCACACTTCAGAGTAGCTCTGCAGTGTAAAATAAATAGATATCGAGGCTGGTTTGAGAAACATACGCTGATTTATTACACACTGAGAGAAACCAAATAGTCACAGCAGTGAAAGTCAGGATAACAAGCAAAAGATGGGCAAACCTGCAAAAGTCCACTCTCAGTATCTTGTAAATCTTGCACTGTATATTAACATCAAAGTCACAGATCCATAAAATTCTAAGGTGGCAACAAGTCAGTTCTTCCCAATCCAGGTCAAATATGCCCTTGGAGATATCTCCCATGCTAGGTCTTTGCTCAGATAACTGCTTTCCCTGTCTCTGTGATTTCCAGATAAATCTGGCTGTGCAGAACTCTGCATGCTGGTCTGGGCACTATTTTAAACAAGCATAAAACATGGAATTATACAGATTGAAAAACAAAGTATCTATTAGGAAAGGTGGCATGTGGAAGACTAAATCTAATAGTAAAACTGCAGGAGCTCAGCACCTTCCAGATTAATCTAGTCTAAAGAGTTGCATCCTGGAAATTCTAATTTGCTTGCTGCTGATGTGAGGCATATCTAATATTGTGTATAGAATAATAAGACTATAATCTCTGCAAAATAACTAAATTATAGGTGTCTTTGCATGCATAAGGTATGTTTCTTTTATGAGTAATTCCTGAAGAATATAATGAAAACAAACTGCAACAGCTCTTAGTCTGGAAAAAGAATTTTCACGTAACTTAAACATAGGAACATTGCATTCTTATTATTGCTTAGCCAATACAATATATATATATAAAACAATATGCTATGGCTTGTGATTCCTTTTGATCTGTGAAAAGAGAGGGGTGAGAGAGACTTTGTCAGAAGTGGCCATTTAGTGATGCCAGAGGCACTGAAGAATTGGAATCACAATGATTTTGAAAGGTTGTGGTAGTTGGAGGATGTCTCTGATGACTGAAAAGAGACAAATGCAACATTCAGTTTAACACAGAACAAAAAGTATAGCCTGGCCAGCCAGGTTATGCTAACCTTTTGGAAGATTATGGAACAAATCTACCCAGAAATCATTCGCAGGAAATGAAGAAGATGATGCCACTGGGAACAGCCAGCAGAGTGGTCTCAAGAGCAAACCTGACACAAATGACTGCCTCCTATGATGAGGTGACTGGATCAGTGAATAAAGGAGAAGGAATGGATGAGAGGATGTGGTGGAACCTACTGTTACTTTAGCAAGGTTTCCAACATGATTTCCTTAAAGATCTTCAGAGACTCAAGAGGTATGGACTAGATGGGTGGACTATGTAGAATGTTGTCTAAAGAAAAGGGCAAGAAGAAACCTCATGAAATTCAAGAAAAGTAAGTATTAACTCCTGCACCTGGGGTGGAGTGACACTGTGAAACTGTACAGGCTGGGAGCTGACAGGATAGAAAGTTGTTTTCCAGCAATAAACCTTAGAGTCCTGGTGGACATAAACCTGGACACAAGTCAGCAATGTGTCCTTGGAGCAGAGGAGGGCAACAGCATCTTCAGCTGTACCAGTAAAAGTCTGGCCAGAAAGCAGAAGGATGTGATTTGTGAGACAGTAGCTAGAGTCTTATATCTAATTATGTCTTTTCCAGAACAAGACAGACAATAACAAATTCAAGGGAGTACAGTGGAATTCCATCACAATGGTCAGGCAGGCTGAGGACAAGATGTAAGAGGAGATGCTGAAACATGAAGAGAAGGCTAAGCTGGAGGAACGGAGGACACAACAATAAATTTTCCATCTTAACTATGCAATGGGTAGTTACAGACAAGATAGTCATACTTTTCTTGGAGGTGCACAACAAAAGGATGAATGACAATGAACACAAGTTGCAATGTGGAAAACTGATTGAATATCAAGGGGAAAAAAAAAATTGTCGAACACTGGAACAGGTTGCCCAGCATGACTGGCAGTTCCATTCTTGGAGATACCAAAAAATCGACTGAACAAGTTCCTAACCTGATGTAACTTTGAAGTTAGCTTTGAGTAGGAGCTTGAACCAGATGACCTTCAGGGGGCCATTAGAAAATAGGCCATGTTATGATTATGTGATTCCATCAGATAACCTTATCTCCATTTGCTGCGTAATTGTGACATCCCCAGCTCTTGTAAACTAATCTCTTATTCTTCCTCCCTGCTTTAATCATACTCAACATACTAAACTTCTCTTTCCACCATGTCTGGGTAATCAGCCAACTCATTAATTCACTGTTTCCCCTGACACCTTAGCTATTCCTCCTTTGCTGCACAACAGGCATTATGTTTATTTTATGTTACAGTCTTAGACTCCTTCAGTTTAGAGGATCTAAAGGTCCTATATTGCATTACAGTGGCCAGTAGTTTTTCAAAGAGCCTGCAAATTCAACATGAATAATTGGCTTCTCTTTGAAGTAAGTGTTATATTTAGTTAGATTAAATCTCTGTGAACACATAATTGCGACTTCCACTATTCATTACAGGTAAAGGTATGAATTAAGTGTGTGTGGTTCTCCAGAATGTGCCCAAAAAGCACCATCAACAAAAAGCTGCAGAGGCTGGTGGAGAAAAATAAGTTCACTGTTGGAGTGAACTTATGGGCCAAAGGTTGAATAGAAAAACCTTTGGGTTTTCAGCAAAGAAATGGTTTCTTATTGTTTCCTTCCAGTTGTGTCTTCTTTAGACAAGGATGCCTTATTCCAAAACCAGATTCTCACCAGTGGAACAGCTCACAGGCCCTGAATTGTGACTAACTGCTTGGGTCAAGATGGAGCAATGGCACGACGATTGAATTCTGGAATACCAGATATTTACATGACAGTTTACACACAGAGTAAGACAAGGGCATTGCTTTGATGTTCTCAGAATGTTAGCATCTACTTAAACACAAACATATAAAAAATGTTTTAGCCAAATATACTAGGCACATTTATATTCTCTTAAATTCCATATTATTAAAAGGGAACTTTTTGTATGGCAGCTAGTTAATATAAATAATTTTAAGACACTTGCTCAGATTCCAAATAAATATATTAAGCTGTCTAGCTAAAAATAATAGGACTATTGAAGTAGGAATTGATGGGCTGTGGTTTTTTGATCTGTTCTAAGCAGAGTAGCTTAGATCTGTAGAGAAGCAACTTGTTTTGGACTAATAATCAAAAGTCATTTTGTGTTACAAGCACCAGTGACAGACCTGAACAAAATGCAGCAATCTTGGAGAGCTACTTTTACATCAGTCACAGTATTGAAACACTGGAAACCACCTTCCAACTATTAGGCTTGCAGTTGAGATGCTCATTAGGTACATGTGGATAGACCAGACTGTAAATCCTGAAATACATGCAACAATCTCCTATGTGCTAAATATTTTTGAAGTGAAAAGGCTATTTTCTTAAAGGCTTTGTCATGATTTCCACCATATCATAATGCAGTTACATAGAGCAAAGTGAACCAGTAAAACACCTTCTGACTGGATGTGCTTTCTAGCTCTTTAGAAATCAAAGCAACTTTTTAAAAGTATAAAACAGAACTAGAGGGAAGCTGTAGTTTTGCTATTCACAGTTCAGACTAACACATGGAGCATACACTTGTCCTCCAGCAGCAAGATGGTGCAAGATGTCCTCTCCCTCTTCATGTGACTACTCAAGGACACTGGTCCTTGAATTAGAGTACTTGGGAAAAAAATTGTGTTATTACTCAAATCATCAGTTTGAACTATGAAAACCAATGCAAATTCCAAGATTGGAGGACACCTACTCTCCACAGGAAAGGGCTAATTTTGCAGGAGTGGCTGGTCTCAATGGAGCCCATGGATGCCCTTATTTGAGCCTTAGTGATCTCAAACCTGCCCACTTACAGCTGAATTCCACTGAAGAAGGAGCCAAAGAGTCCAATCATGCCCAGGAATTCCACTCGACTCAGATTTCGGACGATGTACTCTTCACAGACGTTTGAGATCCCGTACAGTGTTGCTCCACCAAGTACTAAGAGGTCCCCTATCAGTTTATTTTCACCTAGGGATAAATGGAAAAAAATCAGAATGCCTCAAAACATCCATCTTTTGTCCAAAACATTGCATGCTCTTCCCTACATATTTCATTCTTCAGTCACTACGTAGCCCTCATCTGGGTTAACAAAGTGAATGCAAATATTCTGTCATTCGAAGAGTTTTCATTCAATACATCAGCCTCAGACAGACAGGGGGGAAGGCTTTTTCTTTGTTTTGGAAAAAAGGGCCTTAAAAATTCTGAAAAACTTGTAAAAAAAAAGTATAGAATCCAAGTAGCACTTTTCAGAGACTGGTCCTTTATACTTTATTATTACTACTTTTTTTTTTTCTTTGCGGAGAGAATGTGACTCAGCTCTATAGAGCAGTTTGCATCTCATCTTGAAATTTAACCAGTCTAAAACATGTTCAGTACTTAGATCTGAGGACAACTGAAAAATTCTGTGTACCTGTGAAATGAGTGAAGAAATCATTACAACCTAATATTGACCTCATTCTCACATGGAGCTGTTTGACAAGAAAAAGAGGAGGAAGGATGGGGTGTAGACAGGGTGATGATAAGGACAGAATTTTAAAAGAGGTTCAATTAACATAGCAGTACCTAATGCATGCAAAGAACAACAAGATGTATTTTCAATACCTCCAGGTATACAGAATCACTAAAACATTTTTTTATCAAAGACTGTTTGAAATCATTTTAAGTCTTGGAAGATTTTATTATTGAGTGTTGGGTAGAGCTGCAGTGACTTTTGATCAAGTTCAAGTTCCAGCTTGAAAACTGAGGCCCTACTTTTGCAAACTGGTGCATGCAATTCCCTCTGCACATATGGCTTGTTAAATTATTTCTACAAGAGCTACAGCTTCACAAAGCTGTCAGATATTGCTGCAGAACCATATTCTGAAATGCTGGATTATAATGGATTTTTCTTTGAAACGTTTCAGCAGAAATGCTGAAGTACTACACAGTATTTTTTTAAAAAAGGAATACCATTTTCTTTTAAAATACTATGGTTTTCTTTTTATGTCCCTGTCTTTTAAAGTTTTATTTTGATTGATTTGCAAAATATACACTGCAGTAAATAAAAATGGAGACCAAACAGTCTAATTGGTTCAAAATTGTCTTTCAACATTTTTCTTTAAGAAGTTCTTTTAAGCCTTCAATTATCATTCCAAACTGTAGTGCTGAAGTTTCTATGGAGAAGAAATTTATGATAATGAAAACAGTCATAAGAGGACAGACCAAGGGTTCTCTCCAGCACTGGCTATAAGCACCAGAAAAGTATAAGTTGTTTAAGAATGATAGGAATGGAGTAAAGTGTAAAATATTCCTAGTAATACTCTCTTAGTTTCCAACATTTTTCAGCTCAGATGAGATGTGGCTTCTGTGTATTTAGCCAATACTACTAGATTTGTTTTTCACATACTCTTCCAGCCTTTCTTAGAATTTCTGTTTTGAATGTTCCTTGACTGGCAATATGTTAATATTTGACCATTTCTCTTTTTATGATTTGGTTGTTTTGTTGTTGTGTTTTTTTTTTTTTTTTTTTTTTTTTTTTTTTTTTTTTTTCTTATTTTAGTCTTCTTTTGCAATCAGTAATGGAAGATGTTCTTAATTTAAAATAACCATCACGACTTTACAAAACTTCTTCATACCCCTGATGCATTTCGTATTTCACAGTGGCTCCATTGATTCCTCACTGAGTTCACTTTTTTGGTATTTATTGCAGCTACTCATTGACACTTCAGGGAAGGATTGCTGAAAAAGCTTTTGACCTTACAGCTTCTGCTGGGACAAAAATATCATCCTTTTGCATCTGTGAAACAAAAGGAGCTCAGAGGCTGAGCATTTTCACACAGATGGGATGGCCTCAAGCATCACACCCTGATAGCTCTTCCTAAAGTTCTCTCATGCTGAGTGTGAGCCTCAGCCTTTAGGGCTTTCCCAGAAGAGGGAGCTGAAATCTGTTCAGAGCACCAGACTGACGCTGGATCCTCCTCTGGTACTCAGTAGCACAGGGTGACTGAGGAAAGCATAAACAAATAGGGAAGTACAGAGGGACTTCTATCAGCCAGTTCTCAGTAGATTAGGCATTTTCTGAGATAGAAGTTGCTTTAGGCCATCAAATTTAATAAACCTTGAGGGATTCTTAATCAATTTGTGTAAAATCTGTATATTCTTGGCCTACAATTAAGAAGTACTTCATGCTTTTAACTTTTACCCTAAATACCTCAAAATAATATTAGTCATCCTATAATTTTCTGAGAAATATTTAAAAATTACTCTTTATTGACCCTCTACATATCACTGAAGACTTCATATACCTTTACAGTATCGGTCTCTTTCTTGTCTTTTCTGAGAGATGGAATGTCCCAGTCTGGCTAAGGTCTCTTCATCTGAATCCATTGTATACCCTTGAACAGCTTCCTCACCTTTCTCCATAGCTTATACAGGCTTATTTTCTGGTGACTTCTTTTTGAGATGCAGTGACTAGAGTAATACATAGTACCCAAGGATTTAGCACACCAAAACTTTATATACTGGTGTAAAAATTTTGTAAAATATGTTTTTGTTTTATTTCTTAGAAATTACTTTTCAGTTGTCAAATGCCTTATCTTTGCTTTCTCGAGAGGCTAGACTTTGTAACTTTCCCCCAAGAAGACTGACATATCCCTATAGACTTCTTTTCATGGATATAATATCCACATGCATCTACTGGTTTCACTGCTAAGGAAACATGTGTCAACTAACTAGAGACATTCTAAAGACTTTTAGCATAATAAAGTTGTATTTCACCAGTTTAATGGTGTAGGTCATTCTTCAGAAGGCACACAAGGCATAGCCTGGCAGAACAAGATTTATATTACTGATTGTTATCATGTTTAATATTCTGTGGAGAAGTCATATGGTCCAGAGCAGAGTTAGTGTTTTGGGAACTAGTTATAGCATTATAGTGTAACACAAATCTTTTAAATGTGAGTTGTGTTCTGACACAATTTATTTTCACAAAAGGCTCCCAATAGGCCTTTTGTCACATTTTTGTCCTAGCCCCTGCCATTAAGAGGTGTTTCTCTTTGCTTTTGCTTGTAGTTACTGATTAACATGATACCTAAAATCACTCTCAATGTGTCCCATTTTAAATTGAACATTGATATATGTACTAGCAGGATTGACGTGACTGGTTTTCAGAGACTGTTGTAAGTTAAAGCAATGAAGTGCTTTGAAAAACCTGGATGAAACACCTAAAAAGTGTTTTGAAAAACCTGGATGAAACCTGTGTGGCTTAGACCTCTCTGTATGGCAGGAGCAGAAGTATAAAAGTAACTCATGGGTGTTAGCTCAGAATAATGTTATTTTCAGGTATACTTGGCATGTAAGACGATAGAGCTCTAAATACTTAAGAGTAATGGTTTTCCCATTGAGTAATGTGCAAAATATCAGTGAGGATACAATTGAAAATTGAAAGCATGTGTGCACATTATACCTAATTCCTGCAAATAGTTTGGAAAATAGCTATTGATCTCTCAGTGATACATTTTAAATTCATGTCCACTTACTGTAAGAATTGGCAGGTTAAATTGTCTTATGCTGTGGCTACCTAGCAGAGCCTTATGGCTCTTTTAATACAGAAGCAATATGGTCAACAGGAGCACACAGGTATCAATAGTTCTTGTCCACTAAAATATAAGTAAAACAGAGACATTTACTGAGGACCAAAGAAGCATCATTGCTTTTGGTGTCTTCCTTTAGTTTGTCCAGTCCTAGGAAACATCCTATAAATGGTGTACAACCTCTTAATTAAGAGTTTCAATAATTTTGTTCTTTTCTTCCTGCCATTAATTCTTTTTATTTATACATTCTAATGTGTAGTTTTAGCCTTTCAAAGAAATTAAACTAGTTGATCTGTTTTATGATGTTAAAGACAGCATCATTAATAACATCATTATGCCACTAAAAAAGTAAAAAAGCTGCAGTCTCTCTGCATAGCAATAAGCGTGGACACAGTTTTTCATGTGTAGGTCCAAATGAAAAGGCAATAATGCATGTTAACAGATTTTTCTGGACAAATTTACTTAACAGCTATACCCATGCTTCAATAAGGAACATGGCAAATAGCATCTAATTACTGCAGTTGGATGGCAAAGTATCAGTGCTCTTCAATCTGTTCCTTGTCTGCTTCCACTGCCCCACATTCTCCTGCTGAGCCACAGCTCACCCGCTCAAGCGTGTTACTCTCTAGACCGCTGGAACACAGGATGTTTCTTCTGGAACCCTGGTTTGGAATCTCAATCCCTCTGAAATCAGCCATTCCCAACACAGCCTTGGCTGGCTGGCTACATAGTACAGAGTATATTATTTCATTTTTAGCTGGGCCAAGGCTACTTCTGGAGGAGAAGTAACTAGAAGTCTCCTTTCAGGGCTAAGGACAGAGATAAAAAGGGGCAGGGAGATATGGTCAGCACTGTCACAAAGTCCATTGTTTTGTTTAGAAGCATTCTGGCAAATGTAGTTTTTACAGCACTTGCATTTGTATTCAGAAAGCTGAGTCAAGAATTTTAAATCCCAGTGTATTATGCTCTGCTCACAATTCAGTGCTTTTAATTAAGAATGAAAACTGTGCCTAATTGACAATCTTTGAAAAGAATTTCCAGCCTTCCCACATAATTTGGCTTGGCACTAGAGAAATCAATGTGACAGGGGAAGTTGATCGATGAAATCTAACTCTGTCTAGTCTGCATTAATAGATACACACACATTATTCATATGACACCACACATAAAAAATAGAACATTTTACACACAAGGAGGTTCTTTTCAAAAATGTTACAATCAAGTCCCATCAAAGCTTTAGGATGCAACTGTGTGCAAAACCCAACTGGTAGTATACAGGTTTGATGTCTTTTAGCACCTACCAAGTGACCCCACTTCTGTATAAAAACAAACAAACCTGAGAAGAAGTAAGAGCACACAGTGGATATGAGAGTTGCTTACGACTTAGAAATGTATCCAGTTTGGAAAGGAAGCTATTGAAGTTTGCAGTCCAACAGCTAAGCCAAAAGAGGACAAAACAACAAATATTTAGCTTGTCCTCTTAGCTTGCAGAGGTTTGTAAGACATAGGGCCCAAGAAATCTGCTTGCAGCACTGCTGATCTCTAAGTAGTGACCCATTTTTGCCCTTCTGACAAAGAGACAACTCTGAATAGTGCAGTGCTTTGGATCCATGAAGGTACAGTTTCTTGGCAAATTTCCCCCTTTTTTTGGGGACACGCACTGGTCAATGGCTTCTCTGAACAGAACTTGGCCATGCAAACCATTCATTCTTACCTGCTCCTTGCTGTCTCCCAACGAGGACATCTGCTCCTGCCATGCAGCCCATGCCCAGAATGCAGACCACAATCCCAATGAAATGAACTGCCTTGTATCGTACCAGTAAGAAGAACCAGGAGAGAAGTATCACCACTGGGATGACGAAACAGTCTAGGAGCTGTCAAAAGAGAAGAATAATCAAGAACCCAAGAACCTGCAAGTACTTTGCCCTGAAGTGCTAGGACAGATTCCAGCAGAGGGAAGCAGGGTTATTTATTTTGTGATAGCATTTTCTACAAAGAGATAGTGTATTCAAGTGGCTCTTCATGCATCAGACACAGGGTAAGACTTCCATGACAATTCCATGAATTCAGGAGAGCTGTTGATATATAACAGCACTCAAACACACTACTCTTGGATTCAGATGCGTATTTCAAAGTCATGGGAAGAACACCTGGGTCAAAAGAGAGTCACACCACTCCATCTGGTCCTCACCTCCAGT